CACTGCTCAGGACAAATGACCCATTTTTTCCCTATTGTCATTACATGAAAGGCAAAGGGGGCCTGTCATAGACCAAAAGAGACCCAAGAAACACAACTGACTGCCTTAAATGGATCTTTGGGTTTTACAGAAACAACTGTAAAAAAGACAATGTAGGGACAAACACGGGGATTTGACTACAGACTGGCCATGTTTTGATATTAAGTAATTATTGCTGCTTTTGTTGGAAATGATTGTGGGCATGAAGGTTATATATTTTTTATTTTGGTTAATCCTCACCTGAGGATATTTCTTCCATTGATTTTTTAAAGAGAGAATGGAAGGGAGGGGAAGAGAGAAACATCAATGCGAGAGAGACACATCGACCAGTCAACTCCCACAGGAGCCTCAACTCCTGACCCCCAATTCCCGACCTGGTTGGGGATTGAGCCTGCAACTAAGGCAATTGCCCTTGACTAGAATCAAACCCAGGACCCCTCAGTCCGAGGGCTGACACTCTATCAGTTGAGCCAAACCGGCTAAGGCAGCTGGTGAAATCTTGAGAGCAGAGGAAGAAAAACACTTAATAACCAGAAGATGGAAGAATAAGATATACAGGGTGTGGCAAAAGTAGGCTTACAGCTGTTCATATGGAAAATAATACAATAATTAATAACACAAGAATAAACTCCATGTTTCATGAACTCACAGCTGTAAACCTACTTTTGCCCAGCCCTGTATATAAATAACTGAGTGTTTCATCAGGAGGGAGAAGGGGTTGCTACTTTGTAAGGAGGAGAGAAATGTGGCCATTACCGGAGGATTACAGGATGGGGATTAGGGATACAGATGCTTCGTGATAGGGATCAGATGGAACACAGATGGGTGAAAGATGATACTTTATAAGTAGGATATATAATTATTCAGTCAACAAATCTGCATTGTTCCTGCCCCTGGGGACAGAGGTGGGGACAAAACCAATGAGCACTATGCAGAAAAATAAGGCAGGTTCAAAGGGCACAGCGTGGGAGAATAAATTTGTTGGGAGGGGATCAGAGAAGGCATGTCTGAAAAGGTGACAACTGAACAAAGACTTGAATGAAGTATATGGATCTTTTTCCCTCCTGCCCCCGAAAGCTCTCTACATCAGAAGTTGGTAGATTTTTCTATAAAAGACCAGACAGTTTGCTGACCCCTACTATACAAGAAAATATCAGTATGGCTTCTTGTACATATTTCATTATAAGTGGTACATCCTAATAAGTAAGAATCATTGATAACAATAATAATGAAAGTATTACTCTTTGCCAGGCCCTCGTTGTTTGTATGTTTACTTGTCTACTGATTGTCTTCCCCAGGGAACTGAGAGCTCCTGCCACTGTTATGTGCATAGAGGCCAGTGGCTAACTATCAGCTAAATGAATGAAGAGGCAATCAGGTAAGTTCTGTTATCGCCCCCATTTCACAGGTAGGGAAACTGAGGTTCATAGAAGTGAAGTGACTTATCCAAGGTCACACAGTCAGCAAATGGCAGGACTGGGATTTGAATCCAGATTTCTGTGGCTCCTAAGGTAAGTAGTAATGGAATGATTTGTAGTTAAAATGCAGGGCATTCTGAACCAATGATGGAGCATCTTTGTAGTTAGGATAGAAGGGGGAGGGAGCTGCTAGATAAGTGCCAGGGTATTTTCCTCATTTTATAGGTTAGGAAACTAAAGCTCAGACAAGATTAAGAACCTTGTTTAGCCCAGCCAGTGTGGCTCAGTGGTTGAGCATCAACCCATGAACCAAGAGTTCACAGTTGATTCCAGGCCAGTACACACGCCCAGGTTGTGGGCTCAATCCCCAGTAGGGGGTGTGCAGGAGGCAGCCAACCAATGATTCTATCTCTCTATCCCTCTCCCTTCCTCTCTCTCTAAAAAGCAATAAAAACATATTTTTTAAAAATAAAGAATAAAAGCTTGGCTGGTGTTTCTCAGTGGTTGAGTGTCGACCTATGAACCAGGAGGTCATGGTTTGATTCCCAGTCAGGGCACATGCCTGGGTTGTGGGCTGAATCCCAGTGGGGGGCATGCAGGAGGCAGCTGATCAATGATTCTCTTCCTCTCCCTTCCTCTCTGAAATCAATCCTACATAATAAAAGGGTAATATGCAAATAGACCAAACAGAGACAACTGGTTGTGCAGGAGCTGCCCCCTGGTGGTCAGTGCACTCCCACCGCTCAGCCAGAAGCCGGATGGTGGGCGGGCGAGGGGAGCAGCCCGCCTCCCCATCAGCGCTAAGGATGTCCAGGGATGTCCAACTGTGGCTTAGGCCTGCTCCTGGGCCTAAGGGGTCAGTTGGACATCCCCTGAGGGCTCCAGGACTGCGAAAGGGGGCGGGCCGGGCTAAAGGAGCCCTCCCCCCGCCCCCGCCCAAGTGCATGAATGTTGTGCACTGGGCCTCTAGTAAAAATATATTCTTTAAACAAAGAAAAAGAACCTTGCCTAAGATCTGTAGCTCCCTGAGGGGAGGAGCCCCCTGGGGGAGGTATGAATCAGGAAAGGCCTACTCTGCTCAGGACACTATCCTTGCCCCAAACCCCTCACCTGCCGAAGCCTGGGGCTGCTCCTCCTCTTCCTGCTCTTGCTCAGCCTCCTCCAGGAAGTCTCTCAGCAGCTTCTCTGCTTCCAGGGCCTCAGCCCCCAGTGGGGCAGCCCAGCCCAGAAAGGTTCGGACTCTGCCCAGGTCTGAGTGGGCAGGGGGGTCCCAGAAGTCCTGAGGGTGGTCCCGCAGCCAGGAGCCCAGCACAGACACCACAGCCCTGGCCAGAGGGGCAAGGCCTCAGAGGCCAGCTGGGAGCTCTGCAGCCCCCACACCTCAGATCCGTCCTTTGACCTCTAGGACCTTCCACAGCTACCCATGTGGGAAACCAACCTCAGGTTCTTGTTGAAGCTCAGATCTTGTCCCTCTGTCTTCTTGATCTCTACCCTGGAAGGAGCCCCCCAGTCAGGTGAAGAAGGGTGTCGGGAAGAGGGGGGATGCTTAGGAGAAGGGTTCTGAGGTGGGGGGATTTCCTGATTCTAAACCCGAGGGAGGGCCCAGTGAGGGTCTGGGGTGGGAACGTGGAGGTTTCGCCATTGGTACTGACCAGGGCGGCAGGGGCGGCGGAGGTGGTGGCAGGAGAAGGCCCAAAACCCGAGCGGTGGGCACGAAGGCCTGGTGGGTGGCCAGGAAGGCAGGGACGAAGCCCGGGTCCTGCTCACAGTCCACAGACACCAGCTCCCGCACCAGCCGCTCCAGGTGCGCCGCCCTCAACATCCGCACCTTGCTGGTGCGGTAATGGAGGAAGGTGCTGGCATGGCGGCCGGGGGCCTGCGAGGCAGAGGGGTGATGATGCCTCAGAGGAGCGGCCCCTGGAGCACCCCTTTTCCAGCCACACCCGTTGCTAGCAGCTTTCTTGCATCTGACCCCGCCCACTCCTCGGAATCTGGCCCCTAGAGTTACCCTGCACCTCGTACAAATGAGCTGGACACCGCTGGCCGCCCGGGCCCTGGCCGCTGCTCCGCCCCTAGGTTGCTCTCAGCTCTCCAGCTCCGCTTCACTGGGCGCCGTTTTACAATAACCAACGCCCCAGGCTAATTTGCATTAGCTGAATCCTAGAGACCAACCCT